TTCAGAATTTGCATGTTTGTGAAAAGCAACTGCAATTTTTGGCCAAAACCTTAAAAAATGCCAAGTCACTATTTTCTTGTTTGAAATCCTCTGCCTCAGGAAAAATACCAGATTATCATTGCAATTTAGCTAGCGTAGCAGGCGTCGAAAGGGGCTATTGCAATTGGGAGTTGTGCGGCTATTGCAATTGGGTGTTCATAACAAGTTGGTATTGGGAATTGGCTGTCAGTGAGATTTTGTATTCAGTCATCAAAAATAATGGGATTGACCCACTCAATTCCATTATAATCAGAAAAATCTCTTTAAAAGAATTTCACTTATTTTTCACATTTGTGCAAGTAAAAGTACAAGTAATACAAAGTTTTTGCATGTGGACTATTGAGCTTGGACTTTTTCAGTGCTGTTGGGTGATTAATGAGACCATTAAAAAAGAAAACACACAAGTTCTTAATTATGTTTATTTGACAAAGAAGAATTTTATTTTTTGCCACAATAATCGATTGATCATTTCCCATAATCGATTATCATGTGATTTGAAAATTTCAGTCAATGATTGGCAGATGATTATCAGGTCATTTGAAAATTTCAATTGATGATTGGCACACCACTACAACAGAAATCCACTTTATAATCTTAAACTAGAAACAAGCCTGAGGAAACAGTCTACATTTTGCAACTCTACCAGTGGTTTCCCACAAAATGAGGTCTGAGGAACAAGTGCAGAAATGTCACAACATGTCACAACCCAGATCTGGGTAGTGCTTCTGATTGGTAATGCAATGAGGGAAATTTCCTTCAACCAATCAGAAGCTCCTCCCAGATTTGGGTAGAAACAAGTGTGGAATTTCTGCGCTTATTCCTCAAACATCATTTCGTGGGGATTCAGTAATGGCTTTGTAACATTTTTACTGTTCTCTTAGGCTAATAGAAAAACTAACCTGGACTGGCTTGATGTTCTGTAGCTGTGACTTGATGATGTCCCTTATCCATTTGTATATTTCAACAGCAAGGGCTTTTGCCTGCAATTATTTATATTTGTTATAATAATACAGTACTTTAATTCAAATGACGATAAACCAATTATTACAAAAAATACATTACTGACAGAAAATACCAAACTCCTACCTCTCCTCTAACAGTTTTATCACTGTGATCAAACAGTTTGGGTAAAACTTTAACAATGGGCTTGAGACTAAACACTTTACCACCAAATTCACTATTAGAAGAAAACATATATCTTCAACTTAATAATTATTATAAAGCAGAATCATTACTCTTTATTATAGAGTATAAGTTAGAATAATATTAATTATTGAATGTTGAATTTTCCATCATTTTATTTGTCACTGGGATGTACTGACTAAAAGCGAATACAGATACAATTTCTATTATTGAACTTTTCTGTTAAACAACCTTGCCACAGTAAAGGTAAGTGCTAATATCAGGAAGTTAGTTCTGTAAAAAGGTAAGACTGGTTATTATTCACATGATCACCATCTATAGGGTAAAACATTTACCAGTAATTGAAAGGGATTTTCCCCGCTACCTTTATGGGAACCAAGAGGAAAATACAGTGAAAGCACTCATAAGCAGACACCCACGAAACGCAAAAAAGGTGTCTGTAACTGGAGCTGGCCACTTACTGGAATGCAAAAATACAGATTTTGTACGGGAGTTGAGAAGAACAGGGTTTTGTGAAGGTAGTTTTAAGTAGAACTGTTGGCTTACGAGAGTGTCTGTTATGAGAGCTTCCAGGGTAGAACATAAAAAAAATTGGTAGCTCTTCAATTCCCCACCTACTAATAATATTGTACGCGGTTTCAAGTTACCCATCTATCAATATGTGACAACCCTGATAATTGAAAAAATGTTTAGACTGTACCTGATAGCTCGGCAAAGCACATTGGTACAAGCGGCAACAATTTTTGGCTGTTTATTGTCGAGTCCTTTTAATACTTCCTCCTAATGAGAAAAAGCAGGCATGGATTAACATTATTTACAGTTGACTACCACTGAAACCATTCATAGAAATCACAAACATTTCAAGTGATTGGAGGATAGACATGTTTCAGATAAATCAGCATTCATCGTCAGTTCAAGGATGTTTAAAAATTATTACAGACTTCAAGGTGTGGCCATCTTACCGCAAACGCAAACCGCGGATTGCGAACTTAGGACTGAAGATTAGCAGGTGGTAACTCGCAGCTGCCATGTTTACAAGTTTTCATTCATTTGTCCACTTCTATTTTAACTGAGAAATCATCTTCAAAATTACATTTCAAGGAAAAATAGTTCAAGAGAGTTCTTAAAAGTAGTATTTTCTCTCAAACCTGGGATTGTGGAGTTTTAGAGTGCAAAAAAAGTTGCGGTAAATCAATTACCTCTAGAGCATGGTCTAGCCATAGAAATGCAACCCTCAAATAACAAACCTGACGACAAGGCACTGGTCATGTGACTTCTTGATCTTAAGGTTTCTATTGTTTTATCTCTTACCTGAACAACATCTTGCTTCTCAACCTCTATGTACATCAAAATAATCTCAATTCCCTTTTCTTTAGTCTTGGGTCTGGCATTGAGACACTTGGTAATTACGCCAGCTATGACATCACCAGCAACCCTACATCACAATCAACATGTTGGTCAAAATTAAGAACATGGTGAAACTTAATTGATTTGTGACAATCTCTAAAAACCAACCACCTCGTACTACAAAGTTAACAACTGCATCACTTGGTGGAGGTTAGGTGCCTGGAACATCCATGTGCTTCCCCCTTTGGCAGCCAGCCCCTAGACTGAATAATGCCCCAATGGCTGGCACAGCCACAGTCCAGCCAAGTGACCCAAAACAAAGAAAAAACAGGCAACCACCAGACTGATAATATAAGTGGAAAAAAGAAGGAGAGGACAACAAGAAAAACTGGCTGTATGGACCTTTAACATTGAAGAAATGCCTTACACTTCCTGAGACATACAAAACATGAACAAAAATTAATGTAGCAAACTGCACGTACTGAGCATACATACACTACAAAGTATATCCAAATCAGCTTAAGAGACTAAAAAGAGTGGAAAAATTGCATTGCCTCAAATCACAGCCCATATTTTCTGAGGCATCCCAAATGGAATGGTGCGTACCATCTGATTTTCCAACCAGAATTTCCAGGTTTTCCCATGTAAATGGTAAGTACCCCTCACATGTAAAGAGCCTCCTTGGCAGGGCTGTGCTCTAGCAAAGCCCAGGGGCATGCGGCACCCACCTTTTGCTCTTAGGTGACTAGACAATCTAAGTTTTTTCATACTAATCATGCTGGACACCCTAGAATTAACAGGTTAAGAGCACTGGGCACCTGTAATTTTCCTTAGAGCACTGGCTTGCTAGGGATTCCCCAAGTTACTAAGTATTTTGGGCAATATGACACCAAAAATTACATTTTATGCCTTTAATTTTAATATACATGGAGTTAGCAACAGTACTAGCACATCCTTTTTTTTGGCGTTTTCCCCTTTCCTTTCTTGTTCTTTTTCACCTTTTTTAAATTAAAAAAGCCCCCCCCCCCCCGCCTCGAATGGGTTTGAACTAAAAAAGGCCCCAGGGGCAATGCTTAGCCCTCAAAATAATACTTTCTACAAACCAATGGTAAACAATTTACATATCAATCAAAATTCATGAACTTAATTCTCTTTAAAGTTATTTTGTTTGAAATTAAAATTACTTTTTGTAAATAGCACCTAATTTTTTCTTAATTAGAAATCATGAAAAAAAAAGATCAGCCCTACAAGTAATACTTTCTACATTTAAACTACGGTAAACAATTTAAAAATCAATGAAATTCATGAACTTAATTATCTTTAATGTTATTCTGTTTGAAATCAAAATTACTTTTTGTAAATAACAGCTATTTTTTTCTTAATCAGAAAGCATGAATGTTCATTTTGGGTTTCATGGAGTTAAAGGAATACTTTGACAACCAAGTTAACAGGAAATACATTGCAATGAGTGTATTTGCCCCACTTCTAGACAGATGCCATTCCTCACTTTGTCAGTGGGGATGAGATCTTTTCTCCTCTCTACTTTTCTGTCCTTTCACATGTACATATTTACCCAGTCAGACAGATATGCCACGACAACGAGAATAGAAATATCTCAATCTTGATATAACTTTATCATAAAACTTTAGTTTAGACCTTTCTCAGTTCAAAGTGCCAACACCATTTATTTTTTTCAGAAGCTGTTCCTTTACCACAGGATCTCTCCCTTCAAGCCAGACTTACTGCGTTTTTCACAAACATGCGAACTCTAAAGTTCAAAAGGCGCCTTCAAAATTGTGTTTTTCGCTGCCGTCAATCATAATTACGATCACAAGCAACCAACCTTGAAACACAGAAACTCACGAAACGGATCGAAATCCACCAATCAGAAATCACAATCCATGACCTTTTGAACCCATTAAAATAAAGTTTTGTTTCCTAAGAGGTCCGTTAGGATGATTGACGGCAGCGAAATACACAATCGTCAGTTGGCTTTTGAACTTCAGAATTTGCATGTTTGTGAAAAGCAACTGCAATTTTTGGCCAAAACCTTAAAAAATGCCAAGTCACTATTTTCTTGTTTGAAATCCTCTGCCTCAGGAAAAANGTTTCCTAAGAGGTCCGTTAGGATGATTGACGGCAGCGAAATACACAATCGTCAGTTGGCTTTTGAACTTCAGAATTTGCATGTTTGTGAAAAGCAACTGCAATTTTTGGCCAAAACCTTAAAAAATGCCAAGTCACTATTTTCTTGTTTGAAATCCTCTGCCTCAGGAAAAATACCAGATTATCATTGCAATTTAGCTTGCATAGCAGGCCTTGAAAGGGGCTATTGCAATTGGGTGTTGTGCGGCTATTGCAATTCGGTGTTCATAACAAGTTGGTATTGGGAATTGGCTGTCAGTGTGATTTTGTATTCAATCATCAAAAATAATGGGATTGACCCACTCAATTCCATTATAATCAGAAAAATCTCTTTAGAAGAATTTCACTTATTTTTCACATTTGTGCAAGTAAAAGTACAAGTAATACAAAGTTTTTGCATGTTCTTTTCTGCTGTGGACCACTGAGCTTGGACTTTTTCAGTACTTTTGGGTGATTAATGAGACCATTAAAAAGAAAACACACATGTTCTTAATTATGTTTATTTGACAAAGAAGAATTTAATTTTTTGCCACAATAATCGATTGATCATTTCCCATAATCGATTATCATGTGATTTGAAAATTTCAGTCAATGATTGGCAGATGATTATCAGGTCATCTGAAAATTTCAGTTGATGATTGGCACACCACTACAACAGAAATCCACTTTATAATCTTAAACTAGAAACAAGCCTGAGAAAACACTCTACATTTTGCAACCCTAACAGTGGTTTCCCGCAAAATGAGGTCTGAGGAACAAGTGCAGAAATGTCACAACATGTCACAACCCAGATCTGGGTAGTGCTTCTGATTGGTAATGCAATGAGGGAAATTTCCTTCAACCAATCAGAAGCTCCTCCCAGATCTGGGTAGAAACAAGTGAGGGAATTTCTGCGCTTATTCCTCAAACATCATTTCGTGGGGATTCGGTAATGGCTTCGTAACATTTTGACTGTTCTCTTAGGCTAATAGAAAAACTAACCTGGACTGGCTTGATGTTCTGTAGCTGTGACTTGATGATGTCCCTTATCCATTTGTATATTTCAACAGCAAGGGCTTTTGCCTGCAATTATTAATATTTGTTATAATAATACAGTACTTTAATTCAAATTACCAAAAACCAATTATTACAAAAAATACATTACTGACAGAAAATAGCAAACTCCTACCTCTCCTCTAACAGTTTTATCACTGTGGTCAAACAGTTTGGGTAAAACTTTAACAATGGGCTTGAGACTAAACACTTTACCACCAAATTCACTATTAGAGAAAATATATATATCTTCAACTTAATAATAATATTATTATAAAGCAGAATCATTATTCTTTATTATACAGAGTATAAGAATAATATTAATTATTGATTGTTGAATTTTCCATCATTTTATTTGTCACTGGGACGTACTGACAAGAAGCGAATACAGATACAATTTCTATTATTGAACTTTTCTGTTAAGCAACCTTGCCAGAGTCAGGGCTTCTGATAGGTCACAGAAAAAAAGTCAAATTTTGCGGGATTTTTAGGGACAAATTCGCGGAAAAATCGGCCGATTTCACGGAAAGTTTCGGAGCAAATTTCGCCAAAAAGCAATTGGTAAAAAACCCCCAATTTTGTGGTTATTTTCGAGGCAAATTTTGCCAGAAATCGATCGGTTTTGCGCCGTCCAGACCAGTGATATTAACATTTTTCTAACAGAGGTGGTCATTTGCTCTTTCAACAACAAAACGCTCCAGAAATAAACCAATTGCAAAGACTTTAACATCATGGCTAGTGCCCAGTTTTTCGCAAAATAATCGCACCTGGTAGTTTCGGGACGTTGTTTACACATTTTGGTGATGAAGTTTCAAGATAAATTTGCAAGTTTACGGCTTGAGTAAACAGCCCTAATAGCTGAAATAAGTTTCAAATATGTTGCACAGACATGTGTTTGACACGATTTCTAACGAATTTTGCGGTATTTTGTGTGTTTTTGTGAATTTCGCCGATTTACCTAAATTTTGCAGCTCCCCGACTGCCCAAAATATCAGAAACCCTCCGTAGTAAAGGTAAGTGCTAATATCAGGAAGTTAGTCCTGTAAAAGGGGAAGACTGGTTGTTATTCACATGACCACCATCTACAGAGTAAAATATTTACCAGTAATTATTGAAAGGGATTTCCCCCAGAACCAAGAGGAAAATACAGTGGAAGTCCTCATAAGCAGACACCCACGGTACGCAAAAAAGGTGTCCGTAACTGGTGCTGGCTGCTTACTGGAATTCAAAAATACAGATTTTGTATGGGAGTTGAGAAGAACGGGGTTTTGTGAAGGCAGTTATAAGTAGAACTGTCTGCTTACGAGAGTGTCCATTATGAGAGCTTCCAGGGTAGAACATAAAAAAACTTACTAGCTCTTCAATTCCTCACCTACTAATAATATTGTATAAATTATTCCTGGCAACTACAAATCTTAGTGACAACCCTGATAGCTGAAAAAATGTTTGGACTGTACCTGATAGCTCGGCAAAGCACATTAGTACAAGCGGCAACAATTTTTGGCTGTTTATTGTCGAGTCCTTTTAATACTTCCTCCTAATGAGAAAAGCAGGCATGGATTAACATTATGACTTCCACTGAAACCATTCATAGAAATCACAAACGTTTCAAGTGATTGGAGGATAGACATGTTGCAGATAAGTCAGCATTCATCGTCAGTTCAAGGATTGTTCAAGGTTTGGCCATCTTACCGCAAACAGCAAACCCCGGTTTGCGAGTTCGCGGTTTAAAGTTACCCATCTGCCAATATGTAGGACTTAAGATGAGCGGGTAGTAGCTCGCAGCTGCCATGTTTACAAGTTTTCATTCATTTCTTCACCCCTATTTTAACTGAGAAATCGTCTTCAAAATTATGTTTCAAAGAAAAATAGTCCAAGAGGGTGCTTAAAAGTAGTATTTTCTATCAAACCAGGGATTGTGGAGTTTTGGAGGGCAAAAAAATTGGCAGAAAATCAATTACCTCTAGAGCATGGTCTAGCCCTAGGAGAACTTTTGCATAGCTTCATACATAGCTAGAAATGCAACCCTCGAACAACAAACCTGACAACAAGGCACTGGTCATGTGACTTCTTGATCTTAAGGTTTCTATTGTTTTATCTCTTACCTGAACAACATCTTGCTTCTCAACCTCAATGTACATCAAAATAATCTCAATTCCCTTTTCTTTAGTCTTGGGTCTGGCATTAAGACACTTGGTAATTACGCCAGCTATGATGTCACCAGCGACCCTACATCACAATCAACATGTTGGTCAAAATTAAGAACATGATACACTCGGAAATGGCCTATTGCACTTTAACCTTTTAAGCCCCAATATCCACATACAAATTCTCCAAACTGATCTCCATACATTTCCTTACAGAATCAGTTGAGATAATTTGATAAAAGATCAAAGATTTTTCTCTTTGAGATCATTTTATTAATTCTCGAAGACTTTGCTCTTGACAATATTATTTATGGATATAGTTAGGAGAAAATGGATTTTATCTGTTGGGACTTAAAGGGTTCATGCATTAAAAACAGAAGTAAAATTAAGACTATGTCCAAAAGAAACCTGTAAGAAGGAAAAGAACTCTGAACCTATCAAATCTAGGGTGCCCAGAGTTATACGTTTTACGCAAAAATTAAGATTTCCTTGTCACTTAAGGGAAAAAGAAGTCATCAAGGATCACTGGCTGCCGTGAGAGCACAGCTCTAAATGTAAATGTACAGCTACACACATAACAATTGAACGCATGTAAAAAGAGTGAAGTTGATACAGATTAAAACGGGTGTCTTTCATATCCTATTTCTTTAGCAAAGAAAGTGAGTAAGGAATCAAATGAATATTCTCAATAAGTTAGGTTTTGTGAAACTTGATAATATGGACAAAGTTTAGAGTTGGAGGAATAAAAAATGGCTCACTGCATCAAGTCAAAGGAGGAGTGCTTGCCATTTACACAAGCCACCCTGGTGGAAATCTTGAACATAAAAATAGAACTACAAAACTTGACAAGGTGGAAGATAATGACCCACTACAGAGTATATCCAAATCAGCTTAAGAGACTAAAAAGAGTGGAAAAATTGCATTCCCTCAAATCACAGACCATATTTTCTGAGGCATCCCAAATGGAATGGTGCGTACCATCTGATTTTCCAACCAGAATTTCCAGGTTTTCCCATGTAAATGGTAAGTACCCCTCACATGTAAAGAGCCTCCTTGGCAGGGCTGTGCTCTAGCAAAGCCCAGGGGCATGCGGCACCCACCTTTTGCTCTTAGGTGACTAGACAATCTAAGTTTTTTCATACTAATCATGCTGGACACCCTAGAATTAACAGGTTAAGAGCACTGGGCACCTGTAATTTTCCTTAGAGCACTGGCTTGCTAGGGATTCCCCAAGTTACTAAGTATTTTGGGCAATATGACACCAAAAATTACATTTTATGCCTTTAATTTTAATATACATGGAGTTAGCAACAGTACTAGCACAACTTTCCTGTGAACTCAATAATATAACATATGTATCTGGCTTATCTCCCTGTGGAGAACAGAGCCATCAATGTAGTTATTGACCTACATGTATTCTCTACAAAGTGAAAGTGAATGATGCAATGAAAATAGCAAAGAAAAAAACCCAAACAGCCCAAAATTTTCCTCTTTTCCCTTGTCAATAGAGTGCAGTTACTCCTTCTACTCCCCCCTTCTACTGAGGTTCACCCCAAAGAAATAAACGTTCAAACTGCCAACATTTCTCACTGTTTGAAAAAAGAGGTTTGTTCAAGAGAACAAAGATGAAAGGTACAATACCAAAAAACCTACCACAGTCCACTCAGTAATATTACCTAAGAAGGTCCACGTAGACTGGATTACGAAAATTAAACTGTAACGCGAATCGAATGGACCGCCTACCTCTGATCGTTAATTCTTTGCTAATGCTGAAATAGTGGGGCTAACCCTCGTGCAAAGAGCAGAAATATTTGAAACTAACCTTCCAGAAATCGACGGCGAAGCGGCTTCCAAAAATGCAAGTACGGCTTCAAGGCCCTTGTCTTGAGCAACTGCATTATTATCAATGACAAACTTCTTGAGCATTCCCAAGTACTTATTGAATTCATTGCTACTTTCATCATCTATCCTTTTGTAGAGTTTTACTAGGTCTTCGTAACCACTTAGCCTCGCTTTCCATACCTACACGGCGAAAATATCGTCATTTCAGAACAAGAAACGAAGGAGATGTTTTCGTTTCACTGTACGTGAGAAACAGAGCGCGCCAAAGTTTTACCTTGTGGGTCAAGCGATCTTCCAGCGGAAGCTTCGTAATATCCTCGTCTGCCATTGTTTATCGAATAGTTTTCAAATGTTGGAATCTACGTACAAAACCAGCTTGTACTTTTCGATTCGTGTTGAAAAATAAAAATTTTACAACGATCTGTTCGCTGCATATTCCAACGAACATTTGAAATGGCCGACAGTATCAGGTCATGTGATCATCGAGCACCAATCAGCAATGAGGAAATATAAAGTCATATACGCCGTGTAAGAGACATAAACCGTCCCTTTTTAAAATGGAAACAGGGTTCCTGCTGGGGGAATTTCATAAAAATGTATAATACTTTATAAGCTTGTGACTGGCCCAAATTTTGTGGGAAAGACAGGTTCAAACAACTGTTTGGAAGGAAACAACGGCGTCTTGCGTGATGGTAACCCCGTTGCAGGACTATAAATTTTTTAATAAAGGTTGAAATTATAAAGGACTCGACCTGAATCCAGCCACAGACCTATAATTAGAATAAGAAGTTGTAACAGGGTCTCCAAGCTAGGCAGATTTCGCCCTTTATTTAACCATTGTCCAAAGGACTCTAAGCTAGGCTATATACAAATGTGAATTAAAGCAGGGTAATTATCAAGAAAGGGGTGCAACTTGCCCCTTGATCCATCAGGGGAAAAGAAAATCAAGATCTCAGACCCCCCTCTGGGTGCCCCGAAGACTCAGATTCCTCAGTGAAATACTCAGACCCCCTGGATGTCTCAAAAACTTGGATCCTCTTGGGTGTCTCGAAAACTCAGGCCCCTGGATGTCTTGAAAATGTGAGTTTTAGATTTCTGAGTCTAAAACTCACCAAAACGGCTTTAAAAAAAATTATGACTCTTAGAAGCAACCTGACTTTAAGACACACAACACAAAAAACAAGTTGAGTCACCAGCTATTTTAAATCTTTTCAAAAGGAAGAATGGAACCTATTTGTTTGTTCTCATACATTCTCTTATAAAATCAAATTTCTAACGAACTCCAAAAGAGTCTGGGTGGCCTGTGTTAGAGGACGTATTTATTTCAAGGGAAATTTGAGACTGATTTTGATCTCAGATTCTTTGATTTTCTATGTGATGAAAGAAATGAAACCTTAAAAAGTGGATCCTTTAATATGAAAACAAGTTTGGCTCAAACTGGCAAGAAACCAGGCAGCCTCATTTACTTTCACAGGGAAACTGATTGTCAGGTGCACTTTCCAGTCAAAATATTTTGCAGTTATAGGCAGGGTAACCAGACTGGAAGGCAGCAAGGGTCTAAACTTGTGTAGTTTTTATTTAATATCATTGAATTTATGTGTTGAGGAAGCAGCAGATATTCCACTGGAAGCAGAAAATGTACCAGCTGCCGCTAATTTTGACTGGCTGTGTGCACCTGACAAAGTCCAAAGAAATGCCTGAATCTGAATGAATTTTGTGCATTCATAAAGGGCGCTTTCCATTTAGTCAAAATTTCCGGAATTTCCGGCTCGGCGGTAAAACGAAAACGTTTCGTCAGTTCGTCCCACTGGAAAATTCCCAGAAAAAGTGGAAAATCTAAAAAGGTGGGCCCGTGTTCCTGGTTGGAATTTCCGAACGGAATGTAGTGTTCCATTTACGTTTCTCGTAGTTTGTACCAGTTCCAGGTCCACGGTCGGGCACCGCCACGTACTGGGATTTACGACAAAATGGAACAACTTTTTACCAGTCGGAAATTCCACTTTTGCTACCACCAAAATTTCCGGGTTTTTTTCCTAAATGGAAAGCGCCCAAAGATACCCAAAATTCGTTTTGCGATTTAAGAATGCATATTTGGAATTTCCCAAAAGAGGTCCGCTCATCGAAATACCATGGGTGATTGCGGAGGCTGTTCCAAGCAACATTCGATCTGCTTTACAATCACCAGTAGTCTTGGTAAGCAACCACACCACAACAATTTTCATTCATATTTTTATTAATGATAATTTTTCACCCCATTTAAACATATTTCATTGCTTATACTAGTGAGTTCCTAGTCGCATTTTCTCTTTGATTATGACTGATTTAGTTCATGACATTGTTTATATATTAATTTAACTTATAAAATAACTAAGATAGTACACACACTCTGATTGGCTGAGAGGTGTGTTTGCATGTGAGTATGTAAACATGGTTGAGACGTCAAGATGTTTTGCTTTTTGCATGCACATCAACACAAGCACAAATTTGAAAAAGTTTTTTGGTGGAAAACTCGACAAGTTTTCTTTATTTACCCATTCCCTTGTCGGCTGAAACTTGGAAAATCTTTAAACATGCTGTATCGATTTTTGTTCACTCAAGCTGACATTTTAGGTGAGAAAAATCCATATTTTGGAAAGCCTCTTTTTTGAAAAACAATAACTGATTATGTTCTAGACTTCATGTACAAGACTTCACAACTGGTGAGAATTTCTCTTTCAATCAGTTCCATAACATTAATTTTGTGTTTTTTCTCAGGAAAGTTAATTTATAAAAGCAAAACAAAACTTTTTTCCTGTATTTGCATAGCCTGATATAAACACTCGAGGGGTTGGAGAATTCTTGACAGTTTTGCAAACCCTTGACTTCGTCTCAGGTTTGCATACCTGGCTCGAATCCTCCCAACCCCTCTTGTTTTTATATCATGCTATGCAAACATGGAAAAGGTTTTCTATTGCTTAAATAAACAAACTGCAAACATTTAATAGTGTTTTGATTACCACTCCAGACATTATCATTAGTAAAAGCATAAATATTAAATATTTTTGTTGACATTGTTGAAAAAGAGTGGCAGAAATATATTTTTCAAAGCAATGTTGGAAAACACGCCAGTTTTAACCTTTCCCAAAGATCTGCTGTTCTATTACATGATGTCCATAAAGTCAATTTTCTAGTTAATCTCAGACTATTTTAAGATTTAATGGGAAATAAATGGATAACTAAGAATCTGACACAAAAAAAGTAACATTTTGAAAGAATGAAATAGTTACCAAGAACTTAAAATTGAGAATATATTCTAAAATGGCTTTCACAAACTAGCTAGGTCATTGGCTTTCTTTAAATATGTATAAATATAAATCTCTCACTGCAAAGGGGATTCATTAATTTCAAGATGGCAGGAACGGATCAGAAAATGTTTTCATGTCTTTTCATAGACGCATCTTAAAAGGAAAGGGGCTCAATAATAATGATATCATTAGCACATGATATTTGAGATGGGAGATAATAAAAATAATAAACGTTTTGTCAAATCATATCTTGAATCAAACTTGTAACAGAATAACTTATTGCTGGTGAATTCTGTACCACAAATTTGTTAATGATCTCATGTAAGATACATTTACCCTCAAAGATCTAACACAAATCAACATACAATTCTTATTCACCGGTATATTTTTTCATATTCTAAAAATAATCAAAAATAGAAGTTAGGAGAATAAACAAAGCATTTGATAGAGATAAAATGCACTGATTTTTAAACAGATCCTCTCCCTTCTCTTCTTGTGGGGAACATTACGGAAAATAAACTTTGTTTTCACACGGCCTTGGATGGCATGAAAGTGATCCCAACATCATCAACACTTGCTTGTATTGAAGGACTTGAGACAGAGCCGTGAAAGCCACTATTTGCTGTTGTACTTGCACTGCCGTAGTTGGCTTCACTATTTAACTCTCTGTTGTGTGGTGCAGGGACATAGGTGTCGGGCCTCTCGTCGACATTTGACCTGTAACGCCTCTGTTTCCATAACATCAGCAGAGGAATACAGAGAAAAGTGGTGGCAAATGTGCACCAATTTATCCATCTCAGCCCAAAATTTGGTATCATTGGGAATATGTAGAACACAATTTGCAGGAAATTGTTAGAAAAGGTTAGAAAACCAGAAGTAATTCCCTCGGCAACAGGGTATGTTGATTCCACCGCCAACTCAAAGAATAACGGGATGGTTCCATTGACAAAGAACCCTCCAAGGATACTTGTGAGGTAGAGGAGAGGTTTTGAGTAAGGAAGGATGCCAGCACATATCAGCGTGAATATTATGAGCGACACTGTTGCACCTGTTAGCAGTCCTATGACAGTCAGCTTCATGTAACGAGCAAAGTGGTCTACAAATCTGAAAAACAAATTGTATAGGGGTCAGAAATCTTTGCATGGGCAAATAAGTACAAATTAAATGATCTCTAGTTATGATTTGCCTAGTGGAGAGTGCTATTCAACACATGTTTGAAATTTCATGGCTTGGCTCCGGTAGTTCAAGAATGGATAGTGTTATCCACTAACTTAACCTATGTCCAGAAGATGATGCAATTGGTTTTTCTAATACCTATCCACTGGATGATAAATTTATCCAGTAAATAGTACCATCCAACTGCTGAACAACTGGGTCTTGTCCATAATGCATGGTAAAGACCTTGAACTTGTTCAGAAAGGGTCATATATTTCTTTTTTTTCTTGAGGGATGAAGGCACTACCAAAGATTTGTATAGGTAATAGCATGATTTGTAGTGATATTTGGCATAAATACCACGAGTGATATTTCGAAATTGTTATACGTAATTTCACGAGCCGTTAGGCGAGTGAAATTTGAGACAATTTTGAAATATCACAAGTGGTATTTATGCCAAATGTCACGTACAAATCATGCTATTATTTGTTTATACTACTACCCACAAAAGGTTGTAATTTTCACATGTAGGTATTTCAAATTAAGCTGAAATACCACCGCTCTAAGCCAATCAAATTGCAGAAATTTCTCATGTAGTAGTATAATACTATGAATCCCACTTTTGGGGAGGAAAATCACATAAGGTCAAAACTTAACTATTGTTGTATTTACCATTAAACAGAAAAAACTGTTACAAGTACCCCCTTTTTTACCCAGCTCTTGAGACCCAAGAGTGACTAACATGAATTTTCTTTTTGACTGTAATTCATCAAAACTCAATCAAGAAAACCCTTGATTTTTTTGTCAAAATCTCTCTGCTATTCTTTAAGGAAATGTATGGAGATTAATCTGGAGAATTTGCATGTGGATTTTGGGGCTTAAGGTCACAAATCATCCCTGCCATAACTTGGGCTGGGGGCGATTGAAAGTGTGATCCCTTAAAGCCTCAATACACACATACAAATTTTCTTGACTCATGTCACTAATTTTTTTCAAAGAATAGAAATTGATATTCATCACTTTTGGGAGGCTGCCACTTTTTTATGTCCCATTCAGTGATTTTGCTACAAATAGTTATGGTGAGTCCTAAACTGAAAAAGCTTGGGCTTTTATGTACCTAGACAGTTAATCTGAAGACAGAAAAACACATCTTCAGATCGATTGACCAATCTTTGCGTCCTACAGGATGCATGCCATGATTATTTTGCATCTTTGGGGATTTTTATGCATCAAGGACACAGGACACAGAGGTAAAAAAATCACTGCCGATTAAGTTACTCTTGCCGTCTTCACCACCACTATCTGATCAGTCAACTTGCATTGAGCACTCAGTTGGTCATACCCAATGAGAGATGCTTGACAGTTTTACCCTTAAATCCCAAGAGTGACCAACATCAATTTCTCCTTACAATATCAATACATCTTTAGTAACAGAGGTTATGAGAATTTATAAAATGATCACCAGGGTAAAAATGCTTTGATCTTTTACCATATTCTCTTAACTAATTCTTTACGGAAATGTATGGATCAGTCTGGAGATTATTTGTATGTAGATAATAAGGCTTAAAGGGTAAACAGAGGGTTAACTTATTTTCTCATGACACTTACATTGACAAAGAAATTCCTGATAGAGATCCAGCCACTACTGCTCCAAATCCCAACCAACCAGCAGTCTTTTGGGAAATCTGAAACTGTGAAAGGTTCAAATCCAAAATGGAACACCAGCCACCGTATACTCCTGTTCCAATGCCATAAATAAACACAAGCAGCCAAAACTGAGCATTTTTTAGCAAACTCTTTGCACCAACTTTGAATTCCAAGCGTCCTATGGCAGCTGTGACACTTGGCGGTAGCTTAGGCTTCTTAGGAAAGTGGATGATTACACAAATCATTGTCGCAGTAGTAATAGCAAGTTCAATATACATTAGATTCATGATTTTACTCTTCAAGTAGTCTCTCTCAGTTTGGTTGAAATACTTTCTCAGTTCTATGAAAGAGATTTCTCCTTCTTTAGTTGCACTGCTCAGTTCAGTGTTATTAACATAACTTAACACATCAGGTACCAAAAAAGGTCCAATCAAAAATGACAGTGCAGTTCCACTGTAACAAGCCAGAGATGAGATTGCAGTGGCAGTTGTACGCTGCTCAGGAGGAAACCATGCTGCAGACACCATCGGCGCTGCTGCCATGGCAATTGGACCTCCAATTCCTGTAATAAACTGCCCACAATGGATGAACCAGGTTTGAAGGGTAAGGTCATGCAGTGGTATACAGCGAAGACCAGCTCCAACAAACTCACAGAAAACAGCAACCAAGACAGCTATTCGTAAGCCTATTAAGAAACAAATGAAAAGCACATAAACATTTCTTTTACCTTGATAACAATAATAACATTACTAATAATAATAACAAATCTACTTTTTTATTTAACATTACAACAGACATTCTTGACATTGCTGATTGCCCTACACATGCAACATACAGTACAGTATAGCTTGTGTACAATTATAGTGAGCAGAATACAACATGGTGGACGAAGTTCTTCAGCTACTGGTACAATGCTTGTAACATTGTCTGTAAATCTAGAGTAACTCTTAAAAGTAGTGCAGTCATTTTAATGAAATCAATGTACTGATCTCCTCCCTCCTTCATAAAACTGCATTGTATGTAGTCTGGCTGGAGGACTGGCTGGGAATGTGTACTTTTATTTGTACAGGGTTGTCTTCTGTTTGCTGTCATTTTTCAAACATTATTGGAGGTCACTATGGGTCTTTCCCACCTCACTGGCTACAACACCTGACTTATATCCACAAGGTCCAAGTTCAACCCCAGTCAGTGACTCACACTTTCCTTTACTTCATGCCTGCCACATGATAAGAGCTTCATCCTCCTAAAAATAGGATGTTCAGCTAGTGCATGCCTTATATAACCAATAACTTGATCGAATAAGCACATGACAGTCTGAGGGGTATCAGATTCAAGATTTAACACAATATCACAAAGATTAATCCACAGAGATCTTGTTACACTTGATGAGAAAGTAAGTAAAATCAATGACATGCTATGTAATGTACCAGACATGTGACAGTGAATAAAATTGTACGCAAGTTTGGTATAGTACAAGTACTTGTTCCAAAAAATGGCTGCTGAATGCAAAAGTGCCTCTTTTATGTAACATTGACCCACCCGGTCATTAATTAATGGGTCAAAGCAAATGAAAAGAAATATTTTTCATATCACAGACGGTGACCAGGTATCCTACCGCATGAAAACCTTGCCACGTGACGGGCATCGATAGCCGCCGCCAAAATTTTAAGAAACCATGAATGAAAACCGTCATGTGATTATTTACCTTTCATGTCCATAAGCCAACACATGGGTACAACGGCAACCACGAATGATATGGGTCCCCAGTCTGCAAGAAGGGTAATAGTCGTAGAGTCCCAGCCGTAGACTACTTGGGCAGCACCTTGTATGGGTCCCCATGTATTCCAAATCAAATTGTTCAATGAAGCAACGATCGAAAAAACGATCAAGATGTACCAACGTCGTTTGTAGACTTTGCATTTGTTATGATGCACGGAGCCGAGTGACTGATAAGGTCGATCTTCAGAACGAAGTAATCTAGCTCTCTCCTCGAAGGATTGACCATCTCTCCTCATTTTCCAATCCTTGGTAAAGTTTCAAAAAATCGTAGGCGGTTGGACTATTCCTCTGTTGAACACTTGTTAGCCTGTGAACAGGCCTTTGGCGCATTAGATGTCTGTAAGGCTTCTTTCACTCAAAAGTACAGTCGTTTGTTGTTGAAGTTGGCCATGAGCTGTGGTTTTGTTGTGATATTTATAATTTGGACACCTGAATGTTGAAACCAACAATGAATCAACGCAATTAGAGCGGAATAGTGAGCGGAATATATAATTTGACGTTCTCTTGTACGTGCGCCGGGAAACCATCGAACAAAAAACCGGTTTCCTAATCGGTCATGTGATTGGCGCGCCGGGATTAAAGAACTAGGGTGGGTGGGGCGGGGTGTTTGGGCCTTTAACTAAGGGACTGTGCAATAATTATCTGGAGGGGGGGTTCTAAAATTAGCAAAGTAGGCCTTAAAATAAAGTTGCACCCCCCCTGAATTAAAGTTAAAATAACTTCTTGTCCACCCCCGTCTAGAGGGGAGATTACTTTCAACCCCCCCCCCTCCCCAACCTCCGATCCTCCCTACATCCCTCTTTACCTTTACACTACTTCTGGTATGTCTGCATCATCAATAAATAAAACTTGGAAGCTGCGCTCCAAATAACCGTCGCCTGATGAACCACCTTCATACTCGGTTGACTCCTCCTCAGAATCACTTGAGGTATCATCATGAGAACTGGAGGGCATGTTTTCATCATCATCTTCGATGTCTTCATCAAATGTTCTTGCTACAGAACCATCTGCATGCTTAAGTATTCGCTCAACTAATTGTGCCTTGTTTCCAGATACCATTAGACCTTCTTGCCTTAGATAGAGCCGAAGTTGCTTGTTAGTCAGTCTTTCAACATCGTCTCTGCTCTCCCAACAAATATCTTCTGGAATGGTGTTTCTTTCCAGATTTCTTTTGTCTGCTTTTAGAGCCAAGAATTCAAGGTGCTGAAGATATCTTCTGCAAGAACTTTCGTCGATGTTAAGCTTTAAGCATGCTTGCCGTATGGCCT